TCCCACTGTTGCCAAAGTGCTTGCTCATAGGGGGTCATATGATTATTGGGTTTTTCTCTGTATCTATGAAGCGCCTTGAGGCGACTTATGTTGTGATTTGGTGCTATATAAATAAAATTGAATTGAATTGAATGTGGGTTTCTTCCTGAAAGACAGCATTCTTTATCGCCGGCAGGTTTCCTAGAAGAGTCAGGGATGTGGTACTAAATTTGGGGCACTCTGTGCCATGAGGGTCATTTGGGGAAGCATGAAACCATTGCACACACATTAGGATGCATTTGCACTGGCCAGGCCTGTGTGCAGATGTGGCCTAACATCAATAATCCCCTCCAGAGCCTTTACCAATTATTAGCACCCCATTTGAATGGCTGGGAACGGACATCATCAGACCTGTTGAGAAAAGCAAATCAGGCAACCGTTATTTGCTGGTCATATAATGGTTGCCTGCTTTGCTTGCAGATTAAATTTCAAGTATCTTGAAGTCTTTCCTCTGAAGTGTATAAAAGCAAAATCTGTGGCTTTTTCTCCGGTGCAGTTTTTTTCAAGGTTGGGATTCCCTCATGAGATCCTGATAAACTGTGGAACTAATTTTATGCCATCTTTATTAGAGCAGGTCTACCAGCTTGTTGGTATCAAAAGCCTTAAAACCACTCCTTACCACCCTCAAACAGATTGCCTGACTAAGCCCTTCAAACAGACCCTGAAGCAAATGTTACGCAAATTGGTACATGAAAACTGATATGTGGTCATAAATTAAGGGGCTCTCTCTCTTTACTAAAAGAGACACGGGACGGTGACCAGAGAGCGGCAGAGGCTACTAATTTTATCTCTTATGATGAAAGAGTGACTTGGAGAAGATGACTGAGCTAGCTCCAAGCTTGTATGGCAGATGCCCACCAACATCAGAAAGTGTGATATGATTGGTCAGTCCGGGAAAGGTAATTTAATCTTGGACGAAAGGTACTTGTACTCCTTCCAAGTAACGATAGCAAACTGCTAGCTAAATGGCAAGGACCTTTTCAGATCCAGTAGAAACTTGGAGCTAGCAGGTATAAGATGGCAACATTCATACCAGACACCTAGAATTAATGATATGATTGAGCGCCTTGGAAAGCCTGATACCTCACAACTCTAGTTCTCTGCAAGGGCTATTGGCAGGTGATAATGTGTTCCTTTATCTACTTTGAGAAATCACCAGTACAACACTTCTTCCTTCAATTATTATTTAGTAAAGCATAGTAAAAAAATTATCATGCCCATGGATCTCTTTTGTTCAATAACCACAGGCTGTAGAACAGTTTGCTGCGGTCCATCTTCCCAAAAGAGTACCTCAACTTAACAGTATACAAAGTTTTATATGAGAATGTGCGTCTATGTGATTGGTTAAAACTGATGGGGAGAAATCATAATTTACACTTAATTCTTCCTTCGTTGGTGCCCCAAGCTGGTCCCAGCCTCTCAGCACTCAGCCTTGTCCAATTCAGGAGAGCAGCACCTGTTACGGCCCGTGGCCATAGGAAATCTGTGTTAGCTGCTGTGTTGTGTTTCTTTACTGTGTTTTAAGAATCTCTGCAGGTCTTTCCTCTAATAAAGAGCAGTAGGCTGCTGATTGGACCATGGATCATTGGACTGGGTTAAAAAAAGCTGTTCTGCCAGCTGCCGGAAGAGAGAGAGAGAGAAGCAAGCGAGAGTGAACTGATTTGACAGCAGACTCAGACCTGGCCCTTTGTGTAATTTTGTATATGTGTAAGTGAGCTCCGTGAGAGCCGCCAAATGTGAGTATACAGGGAGTGCAGAATTATTAGGCAAATGAGTATTTTGTCCACATCATCCTCTTCATGCATGTTGTCTTACTCCAAGCTGTATAGGCTCGAAAGCCTACTACCAATTAAGCATATTTAGACAGAAAGTGTAGAGGTTTAAAGGTGAAGGGACACTGTCTGCATGTCTAAATTCACAAGCTATTGTTCATTATTATACCTGACATAGGTACCACTCACTCAACGCTCAGGGGAGCTGACCACCTGCTGGACACCATGAAGGCTATTCCAATTCACAGTCCTGCCTTTTGGATTACGTAGGGCCCCTGCAACATTTCAGAGGCTGATGGATGAGGTACTGTGTGTTTTGTCAGAGTTCACTGCAGCATATCTTGATGATATTATGACTTATAGCTATACCTGAGACGAACCCCTCAAACATCTAGCAAAGGTATGAGGGCATCTCCAAGCAACTGTGCTAACTGTTAATCCATCAAAATGTGTCTTTGTCGAAGATGAAACTGAATATCTGGGATTTGTCATAGGAAATGGGGTGATAAAACCGCAAGTAAGCAAAATTGGTGCTATTGAGTCCTGCCCTTTGCCACAGACAAGAAAACTTACGTCTTTTCTTGGCATGGCAGGGTTCTACCACCGATGTATCCCTATTTATCCCTCTCTGCCAGGGCGTCTCCCCCTCACCAATGTAATAGGCTCTAGGTGTCCTAACTAGATTTGGTGGACGGAGGAGACAGAGGCAATGCTCCAGTCACTGAATAAGAGTACAGACTTGTATAGCCCAAATTTTGTTTTAATCTTCAAACTGATGCTTCGGATAAGGGTCCGGGGGCTGTTTTTCTACAGGGACCACTGGATGAATGACACCGAGTGGCTTTCGTTAGCTGCAAGATGTTCCCAAGAGAGATGAGCTATTCGACGGTTTCTGTCATTTTGAATTATTTTTGTAGTAACTTTGTTTTGCAGTATAATAAAACCCATTTCTTGAAGATTAAACCTGTACCTAGGGATGGGTATCGTTTAGGTTTTATCCGATACCGGTGCCAAATCGGTACTTTTGAAACGGTGCCGGTGCTCAAACCGGTGCTTAAAGAATGGAGAACACAAACTTTGTCCAAAAACCTCTCGTGTTCAGCTGTTTTGTTTTTTTTCTTTGGTCATTTTAGCCTTTTTGTCCAGGGTGAAGGGAATATCTGCCATCAAACAAGAAGACAGCAGCATGTAGCTATGATGATGTTTGCTAGTTCACCTTACATGCATTAATGTAATAACGTGGTTAGCCTACTCAACGTAAATTACACACGGACAACATTAAGCGACTCACGCAGAGAAGAACGGCTTCTGCTGCCATCATCATCCTCATCATTTCTGCTACACTGGCAGGGCTAGGGGCCAGGACTCTATTCTTCGGGTTTTTGGAGGATGTTGCTCCGGTCCGATAACTGGCAACCCACCCGACGTGCACGGTGTGAGGTCTCGCAGCAAGCTATCAAATACGGCGCATTTCTCGGCTTTTAAAAAAAACGCTATGCGTCGCCAGGTGTTTCATCGGATTCGAGGTGTTACCTCCTTTGACAGTATCACAGTATCAGCTTAAAGCACTTGTTGCTGCTGAGTTTGCATCTTTTGCTGTGAAGTACAGCCAGACTTTTGACCGCTTCGCCTTGGACATTTTTAATCTGTAGCTCTGCTCTAACTGAACGTACGTACCTGGCCCCGCCTACTATCCTGGGAAACGTAAAATGATTGGCTAGAAGTGTATCACAGCTCAGGGGAAAAAAAGCACCGAAATAAAGCACCGAAATGTGCGCTGCTTTTCGGTCTGGTTACTACCGTTTATGTCAGAACCGGTGCCATCATGGCACCGGACACCGGTACCCATCCCTACCTGTACCTGTATGTTCTTGGCTGCTTGCTCCTTGATAGTTATAGATTGAAGAAGGCTCTTGGATGAGAAGTAAAATGTCTTCAGAAACTTGAAGTCCAGCAGCCCTCTTTTTTCAAGCTCTTAAGAGTGTTAGATGTATTATTTGTGAATTTTACTGAAATTATCAATTTTTTTTTTAAAAATCTAAATTGAATGAATATTTTTTATGCAGTAGTAAAATGTTAAACATTTGATATGTTTTCTATTTTCTATTGTGAATTATGAGTTTATGAGATTTGCAAATAAAATATTCGGTTTTTATTTATATTTTACTTTTTTTCTGGAATTGGGGTTGGTCTTGGTCTGACTTGGAGATGCCTGGATCACCTCATCTAGCTCCTTTTGATGTGGAGGAGCAGCGCCTCTGCTCAGAGTCCCTCCCGAATGACCAAGCTCCTCACCCCATCTCTAAGTGAGAGCCCAGCCACATTATGTCTTCCTAAATACGTATCACATTGAAATAAGAATAACTGAGAAAGCTTGTCTTGATGTATACTTAAGTAAAGCTCAGTAGGTGTGCAGTCATGGAGTACTCATTTGTGAATTGTCATAAAGTAAAATATTTATTGCTTTGATTAACTGCAGAGTTGTAAATTTGATCAGAATTACAGCTTTCAGGTTGCATCTGTGATCATTATACTTCATTTATGGAAGCCTACTAGTGAAAGAAGATAGGAAAAAAAATGCACATACGCTTTATTAAGCAGGTAATGTAAATCTTTAATGATGCTAATTTACTTAAATGACACCAGCATTCATTCCAATAATTAATCAACTTTGCATTCCAACAACAGTTTATAGTTCAGATAATGATCAAATTTAAGGCTTACGTTTATTCTAATACCTTATTGTCTCTAACTTAGTATGCTCCTTAATGAGTGTTACGTGTTGCAGGTTTCCATTCATATAACACAGCACACATATCAGGATCATTTCTGCATGTTTCTACTCAGTTTGTTTCAACAATAGCAACAATAAAACAATAATAACATTAAAAAGAACAAACCCTGTCTTTTCTCTCTGTATCTACTGAATCTACTTTGAAATGGAACTGGAGATTGCCGGTCGAATCAGCTCTTCCATTAATAGAGCAAGGGTGTGGCACAACTGTTTAGCCTGAAACAGATATTTAAAAATTAAATTAGACTTGAATGCAAAAATCTTTTGACAACTTCTTTGGTGATGTGTGTCCCTGACACCAAATTAGAAGTTAACCCACTGCACAAAATCATTGACAAGCATTTTGACATGTGAGTAATCATTTATTGAAAAAGTCTTTAAATGAGAGGATTTATAACACTGGAGAAAGTGAATGGATGTTTTTTTTAATGTATTAAGGGATGCTTTGGTCAAATGTTAAAACAACTGATTGAATAAAAGATTAATTGGAAATGCCAAATTATGGAAAACAAATAGTATGAAAAACCCGCAGAAGTATCAGGACATTTTTATCCTCTAATCCGACTGTGGAACATACCAAGATGCCAAACGAGGAAAATGCTTTTTTGTTCCAGAAAAATACAGAACACACACAGTGAAATAAAAACAGATCAAAAAGTCATTACCTGTTTGAGACGAATGGTGATTTTTTTGGGAGCAGCTGGATTGCCATAGTCAATGTCCACGGCTGGCACCTTGCCTTTTTTATTGGGGTGAATGGTGCACATGAACTGAACATCAGTCAGAGGAATCCGAAACACTTGCTCCTGCATCAAACAGAGACAACAACAAAACAGCTGATATGATGTATCATACACCTTTTGGTTAGCATTAGCAGAGAGATTTGTGGCTTGACACAGGACAAATTATGCTTCAGACTGGATCTTAGACTTATTTAATGAAAAAAAACACTAAACTCTATGAAAAAATCATCAGGTTCAGAAAAGAAGAACAGAAGGCAAGAGACACTCTTTAAAAAGACCAGCACCTGTGTTTTGGAGTGTAGGAACAGCACTCCCTCCTGGTTGATGCAGACCACACACGGAGAAGGACAACCACGCTGGCTCACCTTCTCAGCCAGGAAAGTGTTGGATCCAAACAGGGGCAGAGAACTCAGAACCTCTGAAAAATACAGAATTTAGACAAATATTATCAACAGAGGAGGAAGAAAAAAGATGAGCTAGAGAAGAGATACTACCTACCAATGAATTGTACTTTGGCATGTTGAGGGCTAAGGGACTGCATGGCAGCAATCCGGCCCTGACAGAAAGTGAGGATCTCCTCCACTTTGTTACGGAGCCCAGTCTGTGAAGGCAGGTAACCCTTTATTTCTGACCTTAAAGAGAAATGCACAAATCAGTATATACATACTGTACATTTACTAACATTACATACATGATGTTAGTGACATGTTTCAAAGAACAAAATTTACCAGAAAGTTTTTCAAAAGTGTTTCTCTTTATTGTCCGGGAACACTGTATTCAGTGCTTACATTACAAATCAGGACACACCTACTCATTTAGTCATCAAAACTGGATAAAACCCTTTGATGGATACCAGCACAACCCTGGCAAAATCAAGTGGCCAGCGTTGAACTTGGAAACTAAAACAGTGCAGTTCCTCTACTGTCTACTTGAGGCTCTAAATATGTGTCATTGCCCCCAGACTCTCATACTGAAATGCCAATCTTATAATTCTTGGGGTCAAAATGTTTTTTGGCTGTTACAAAACTGTTTTGGTCTCGCTGGACAGTTTTCCTGTTCATAACAGCTGCAAGTTGTTTTTTTAATAACTCATTTATTCAGATAGGAAGGAAGGGGCTGCTTGGATTGACAGGGCTGTTGACACAGGGAGTTATAGATGATTGTTGTTTCCTACGCCTCACCTCCTCTAAGTATCTACTTTTGGTATGTGAAATTCTAGTATATTACTTCTGTGTCTGTAATTTGCCACGATAAAGTTATGAATATAACTTGCTAGCCTCAATTGCTAACGTAGCACCGCACCTTCTTTCTTGACCATTTTAAGTGATGACTGCATGATATTTCTTGAGATATTCGCAATAGTTCAAATCACCCACTGCACTGAAGAATGTAAAATATAAAACATTTTTTTAACCAATTATGTGTTATCAGATGGCTGTTCTAAAAAATAAAAAATAATAATAAATAAATTAAGTATCATCAAGTATCACACCTCTGTAAAGGAAAAACAACCTTTTATTTGTATTTTTATATTTTGAATTTAACCAAACAAAAATATGTTAATTAGTCAGATTTTTAAAAAAAGCAGAAACACACACAAGATGGAGCTCTTTGAGGCAACAACAGGTGATTAAAGGTAGTCTTTTATAAACAGTCCACTCTTAAACTGATTATTGTGACTGTGTAACTCACAGTGAGGGCTGGTCCTGCAGGCCCAGAGCCAGATGCTGCAGGGCTGACAGCATTGCTATCTGCTGGATTGTTGATGACCCTCCTGTGACAGGAGGAAGCATCAGTTGCCCGCTCAGATAGTCTGCAAGAAGCTACACACAAACACACACAAGCAGTAATGGTTAGATTAGAATAAGATTATTCAAGCTACATTCAAGTCATTATGTTACCTGTTGGTAGTGGAAATCCACATAAAGGTCATTGATAAAAGAAAGAGGCATTCTCCACATCACTCTTCTCAGCAACAAGGAGCTTGAGTTGTCCTCCACCAGAAAGTCAAACAAGTACTCCTCAAAATGAAGGGGGCGCACCATCCCATCTAAGAAGTGGGGAGCAGAGGAGTAAGGAAGGGGGCAAAAATCTGTTCATCTTTTTCTCTAGTATCCACAAACATCTACACTGAAGGGACAACATAAAAGAAAAACTTGAATGCTTGAACCCTGTAGTGAGGAATCCCGTGCTTGTGCTGTTTTGTTGGGAAATGGTTGGGTTCAGTTGTTCTGCACTGTATTGTTTTTTTTTTGTTTTGGTTTTTTTATATACAGTACCTTGGTGTTAAGACAATGCCATTTTTAGGAAAAATATTTCTCATTTCAGGCAACCATGACTTTACAGTAAAAGCACCATGTGGGTACTAATATAGTGAAAACAAACAAGCATTATGAAACATTATTTTAATAATTAAAAAAAAGGTAAGCAACAGTAGTAAATGTGAGCCTGTTCTACCCTTCTTTTAATTTTAATAAAATTCTTCAAATTTTAATATTATTAATATTATACCGGTACATACATGCACAAATATTTATACATGAAGGTGATATGCTATGTAGAGTTTTTCAAAGATTTACAAATTACCTTTTAGAAATAGGATTGCAGATGTTTTGATATATTTGCACATAATAGCTTTAAAGACACAGTACTTTAATTTGAGTTGAACTTTTTTTCTGTATCAGACAGAGATGTCATTATTCTGGTTTACCTTGTTGTCTAATGACAAGGATGGAGAACTCTTTGATTTCTTTGATTTGGGTGATGCCCATTTCTTTACACAACTCCATTACCACATCTTCAGTGACCTATGTGAAGCAATAAAAATTACAGCATAGAATATTAATAATAAATAATATAAAGATGGTTTTACTGATGGATAATTAAATATGTATAAATAAATCTTACACTGAAGTTTTTTATTTGTATGGGAAATTCCACTCCTCCTGGCAGGTGGATAGGAATATAGATAGAAGTTTTGCCAGCCTGAAGAAAATGAAAACACACTCAAAATGAGATCTGCTGAATTAATTACATTCAGTTCATTTAAGGCTTTTCTTTTTTAGCTGGGTAAGGACCCTACAACCAAGAACAGGGAGAGACCTCTGGCAGAGCCAGTATCAAGGAGGCACAGTCATCTACTGTGGCTGGATTGGGTGTCAACGGAAAGAGAAGAAAAACAAAAACAAAAAAAGAACATAGAGAGAACAAGAACGACAAATGGAACAAAACATATAAACACATAGAGAGACTAAGCAAAAGTTAATGATATGCAATATTGGAGCATAAACACATGGGGAGTGAAAAAAGGGAGTGTCCAAAAAAAGCACTCCCCCAGCACTCTAAATGAATAGTAGCCTAAATAATGGATGATTCACCTAATCAAAGTCTAAATAACAGTTTTCATATAATGAAAGCTTAATCTTAAAAGAAAAGAAAAGAAGGCATCTGTCTCCCAAAAGCCCGAGCTGGCCCTGATAGCTGAAAGCTCTGCATCTTATTCTACTTTTACAAAGTGTCAGAATCACAAATAAGTCTATAGTCTGAGAGCAAAGTCTGAAATATTCATTATTATATGATGAGGCCAGATCAATCAGAACTTTGTATTGTTTGAGTGAGTAAGTCAACTTGCCAGTATTGCTTCTATCTCGGGATATGAGGGGATATTGCGGCGACCACCAAAGCGAAGAGAGCGCTGGAGGTTATCATGACTCAAAGATGCCAGTTCTGAGGAGGACATCATATTAGTGAAGAAGCTATTGAAACATTAAATTGACATATACGTTTTTTCCTCATCAAAACAACTTCCTCTACCATGGTATGGGTGCACATAATCCTGAGAGATGTCATCGAGGTAGCGTGTGATATAAGGCTGCAGTGTAGCAGAGCAAGGGAAAAAGCCAGCCACCACACTGAGTAGTTGCCAACCTAAGGAACAGCTGGATCTGCAGATTCAAGATCAGATAATAATTGCAAAGAATACATCAAAGAAAGAAAAATCAACGTTGAATTTTTTTGTAAATAGTGCAGTGTAATTATTGCAGATATGTAGCGGTTAGTGGAAGTGAGAAGCATAAATGATCCTGAATCTGTAAGGGATTTTTAAACACTAAAGATGATGCTAAAGAGCAAATTAAAAGAAATAATAAATAAATAAAAAATAATAAAATGGCACTATTCTCTTTTTAGCTCTTATATATTACAATCTTGCAAAACATGTAAAAGTAGAAGATGTAAAAGATGGAGGCATGTGCACTTATTATTTCCCTCGGCTTACTGTATCTATAAGGTGAACTGCCATGGCATTCACCTTTGTGAGGTCAGTGCTGTGTTGGGATGAGCCTGAGACACTGCACTTTTTTCCCACTTTATATTGAGGTGTAATGTAACTGTAGTGTGAAACTGTACATGCCCCAAGTACAAGTACAAGAGACTGCCTAAAGCCTTTACCTTTCTTTATTTTCATCTAAAAGATAAAGACAAAACTTCCTTTATCTCTCTATGAATGTGGATTGCAAGTTATTTTTCCTTTTATGCCTGCAGAAATCATTAATTAATAAGGAATTTTATCATAATATAATCCTCAAAACAGCAATATTACCGAAGTCTCTTACTTTGTTTGTATTCCTGCTTTACCATTTGAATTGCTTTTATTATTTATATTACTTATGAAAGAAAAATGACAAATTGTCCCACAAAGCATAAAAATACATCTAAGCATGACATTAATGTAAGAAAATACAAAGCTGTCATCAAATTAATAAGTTGAGAATGAAAAGCAAATAAACAATAAACACCACCTCTCGACTGAAACAATATTCTTTTTAAATATTCAATTGCAGATAAACAGAACTTACATTTATATAAAAAAATTAAACACTGCATGGTTTTCAACAATTATAGTGTTTAAGCTTTTCTCAGATCCAACATTTCACAAAGAATCTCTTATCTTACTAATACTTTTTTTGCCTTTCCATATTTGTTATTTGTTCCAGGAAAAGAAACAGCAGGTGCATTTTGATCTTTATTTAATGGGGATAGTTTTCTGTGATATTGCTGAACAGCAAGACAGCTTGTTTAAGATGTGTCGTTGTTTTGTATTTTTCCGTATGTTTTTGTCTAAACCTTTTTGATGAACTTGGTGTTTCGGTGGTATTTATCAGAGCCGTCTTTCTAGTCGGCTCCAATAACAAGTCCCAAAGTGCTATCTTGTTGCTGTCTTGGAGGAAGACTAATAAGAGACTAATAAGACTAATAATTCATATTTTGGATTTCTAACTGACTCATAATGAAAGCATCCAGTTGTTCTTCAAGTTGACTTTTATTTTGCTAATAATGTGCTAATGTTGAAGTTGAAGCTTTGGATAACTTGTTAAAGTTCTACACTTCTGGTTAATCTTTGTCAAAATCTGATTCCATTCTACAGTTAGCACTGCAATCCTATAATTCACAATCAATAGTTTAAAAATATATTATTTACCATCTTTTTACGGTTTTAGGAAATAGTAGAAGATGCAATATAATGTAAGCTCAGTGTCATGGTCCCTGTGCCTCCCCGGCCAGCCCAGTGTGGCCACAAGTGTTTGTTGTTTCACTCTCTCTCTGCTCTCCTCGCCTTGTGCTCTCTCTGTCTCTCTCTCTCTCTCCTACCTGTCTGCCTGGGCGGAGCTCAGATTGGGCTCCCGCCCTTGGCCCACGCACCTGCAGCTGATCACGGGTGATTTGCAGTTGATCTCTGGCTCTTCTTAAGGCAGGGGCTCTGAGCTACTCGTCACTGGAATATTGAGTAACTCTTGTTAGTATCGCCTGGCTTCTTTGCGATTCTGCTGTTCCCGTGCTTGCCTTCGACTTACCCTCGTCTGTGTAAATACGTTTACCTGGATCAGCCCTTTTGTGACCCCTGGACCCCGTGAGTGAGAGTGAGCTGCTTGTGTGGAGACTGTTTGGACGAGGAGCAGAGCGAGTGCGAAGAAGTGTGTCTCCCCAGCCTGTTGATCCCCGGGACCCTGGTGTTTCCCCCCACCCCCCCTTCATGTGTATATAGCGCACCAGTGTGATTAATAAAGAGTTGTTGAACCGTGCTTTCTCAGTCTGCGCCTGAGTCCGTTCCACCGCCGTGACACTCAGTATGTATAATATTATTTATACCTGAGAATAATACCTTAAAAAGATGATTTCTGGGTTATACAGCACATGATAACTGGCTAGTGTTATGGTAGTTGAAAAGAAACATTAGAAGTTAAAGTAACTTCAAGTAACATCAGTAAATTGCATGCATTGAATAAACTTATTAATAAATGTATCATAATGTAACACAGTTATTTAAGCTATTATCAAAGCTCATCAGTTATAAGTGTAGGTAAAGCATAAGACGTGATTACTGAAAATCATGGTAAGTCTTTAATTACCTACCATTCAATGTTACTTAAGTAAAACAGAAAGTGGCAGAAAGAGCAGTGCTGGACAATCTGCCTGAACAGGTATGAATGAGCACAGTACAGTACAGCACATAACTTCATGCAAGCTCAGTCAATGTGCAATTTGTAAACAAAAGTTAAATTTGAAAAATTAAAAATCTCTTTAAGAACCCAAATCTGTTCAATCGCAGTTTACGGCTTTTAAATAGACTCTTTACTTTTGATAGGCTTACTTTTTTGGGTTGTTGGTAGTTTGCTTGATAACCTGGCAGAATATTTCATCCCTCAGCAGTTCCTTTTCCTTCCCTAGCTGAACAGAAGTAAGAGAGTCATTACTATTAAAACAAAAGTCCACCCAACTTACAGAAACTGTTTGAATATGCACTCACCAGAAGAATCTGCCTCAGACACTCTGGCTGGCTGCTGTTCTTCCTCATTGGCATGTCTCCCATGTACTCCATCATGTCTGAAAGGACAGACAAATGCGTGGATGAAGAAAGAACAGAAAAAAGTTTCAATGTATAATACCATGTGTTATTGTGGGTACACTCACTTGTGAAACACTGAATAGATAACTCCTTGATTTCAGGGTCATTATAGAGAATGAGAGATTCCTGGATGGGAGTCTGTGTGAAAAAGACACACATCACAGTTAGCTTTTAGTTTTATTATTTCACAAAGCTTCATTAACACTGACTAGATTCAAATATGTATAATAAACATCTTGGAAATGCCATACAGTCTGAATTCATCATGTTCAACAGTTATTTTTGCCAAAGCATGGGAGTTACTCATTTGATCCACACAAAGTCTCTATAATATCCCTCAGTGTTAGAGCCATCGATGGCTTTGGAGTGGACAACGCCAAAGAATTTGTTGATTCTGGATAGAACTAGGTGTGATGATTCTAGATCATATCTATTTTATTTGTTAAAATTATGTGTCAATTACTTCTCCTCCCTTCAGAAGATTAAGACACTGTTTTGAAGTAACAAACTTCTTTGACACAATTAACGATCCACATGAATTAACTGATGCATTACATCATATATACAATTTCATGAGAAATCTGTGATTCAAACTAGAAAATTTACTATGTTCACAAATAATAAGCTGTGGCTGACAAAAGAGCTCAAGGTTTGTCTCAGTAAGAGAAAGATTGCATTTCTAAATGAAAGAAAATCATTAATAGCTTAAAATATTTGAGAACATACATCATTTAGTTTCATGGTTAATATTGACTCTATTTGCGAGAAAGTTAATCAGAGATTGTTATTAGGATGTTAAGAGGCTTTGGAGATAAAGTCTTTCCAAAACGTTGTGGCTATGTAACCTTGACTGATAAACTTGATCCTTATGTTCAGTTTCAGTCTGGTATAGCAACTTGACTGTGGCCATCAAAAACAAAGCGATTATCAGAACTGTTGTATAGCTTTATCATTGGGCCGTTTTGAGGAAAGTCTGATCTATCATTGCTGACTGTGAACACTAGAGCAGGGCAATATGACCAAAAATATTTATCACGATATACATCTGAAAATTTGCGATAACGATATAACTGACGATATAATTGACACTAGACAAACACTTTACAACTCCACAACTTTATTTGTGCAAAAAAACAAAACAAAAAACCATAAATGTATTTTCACTTCAACAAGCAGCTGATTTTTATGTGCATTAAAGTTATATAAAACTTTAACAGTGCAAATGCAAATTCCTTGCTGACAGTTTAACCAAAAGGCATTTCCAGTGGAAACTGGCCGACATATCCTCAGCATAACCATGTAGAATATCCACAAAACGTAAAAACAGTTATACACACACAGAGCAGAGTACGTATCACTCCGCGAGGCTCCGCGGATTGTCGAAGCCCCATCAAGCGGTGCGGGTTCGTAGCTTAGCAAAGTCGTACTAAAACATTTGACAGATTTTCGAGCGCCGTGTACATAAAATCGTTTCGAGGTCAGTAAACACAACCAGAGTTCATACATAAGGCACACGGGATTATAAGGGGCGCTGTCGACTTTCAGGAAAATCAAAGGATTGATTTTAAGTGTGCCGTATTTTCCAAAAAACACGGTAATAACGACGGCCCGCTAGCACGCTCTACCAAAAAAAGTGCTTTGTTGTGTATCTGACGGACGAAAGCTAAACCAGTTCCACACCAGTGAAGCTGCAGCATTTTTACAAACCAGTTCTGGTTCATCTGTTTCACTCAACGCTCCGCTTTCACCCTTCTCATTCTCCGTTGCCACCATGCTTTTTCCGCCATGTGCGTATGAAAACAAAGGCACTGTGCATGCACGTTTTACCCATATTCTATCGCCATATTTCATTTTCTTATCGTTACCCAACATTATACCGGTATTACCGTGAACGGTATGATATGGCCCAGCCCTAGTGAACACCCTCTTTATCTGGACATTGTAGGACACCTTTAGCTAGCAAAAAGATGTAGCCTATAAGGAATCATTTGTCCCAAGCATAGCTGGACTGGCCATCGGGCCCGATGGTGATTTTCCGTTTTTATGGGCTGATGGGTTTTTTTCCCATTTTTTCCCGTAACGGTATAAACACTGAAAGGTGGTGGATTGGCCAGATGAAGGGAGATGTGAAAAAATAACTCAGTTGTTTGGTGGTGGCTATTGCAGAGCTTCTACAGATTCAGTAACATTAGCAAGTGGTGGAGGCCAGCAGGCGCAACACGCTGGCAGGTGGATGACGGAAAGGCAGAAGGAGCAGAGACCGGAGGCGGTGAACTGAACTTCAGGTAAGAAGTTATGACCTGCAGTCTATCTGGGTCAGATATGAACCAAGTTTATTTTATTTTCGTTGTGCTGACTTTTTACAGTCAGTTACAATAACTCGTGCTGCGTACTAGCTAGCATGACGGATTTTATATACTGCTGGGCGGGTGCTATGATATTATTGATGTTGAACTTGTTTTTATCTTATTTTATTTATAAGGTTAGTTATTAGAGTTTCCAACCGTCCTGTAAAAACGGAATCGTCTAGTATTCAGAGAAAATATTGCGCGTTTGGTATTGAGCTGAAAAGGAACACAGTTTGTCCCGGACTTCAGCTACAATGAAAAAGACACAAAGCTGGAGTTATTCTGTGTCTTTGCTGCACAGCTGCCTCTTCTCCTCTCTCTCTCCTGTTTCTACTTCAATCATGAAACTAAATCAGTGATCAGCTGATTGGCTTTTCTCTCGTGTTTGTTTATCGTCCACCAGAAAGAGGAAACCAGTGGATGTCGCGCTAAACAACAGCAGCACGTTTAAGCTTGATCAGCTAGAATTTATTTAATATTACTTTCTAGTATCAGCTGATGTTTGCTGGAGCCACAGCTGTAAAGCTGCTGGTCATGATGTCGGTTTGGATATGTGGTGAGAGGGAAACATGAAGATGAAACCAGGAGATGTCCTTACTGGATCATCAGAGCTGAACAAGTGATGGAGAAACAGGTTTACCTTTTAGGTGACATGAATGAGTTGAAGGAAAGTTATGAACTGTTTCTGAGAGACAAATAACCCCAGGATCCTTTTTTTAAGTAGCTACCAGCTGGTAACTGTGCAGGGGCGGGTCTAGGAAAGTGTTGCCAGGGGGCCAAGTAGGGCATTAACAGGGAAAGGGGGGCACAAGGAAATACTTTTCTTCCTTATTCTCATTTAAAATGTCTCATTTTTAACAAATAATTATCTGAATCTTACTACAAACGTTTTCATCTGATGTAAAATGTATAGAAATCCATTATTGTACATAGTAATTTTTTTTAGGGTCCCATCATAATTTCTTCAGAAGTAGCTAAGTACTGTATATGATTCCAGTATTTTCCCACATTTTCTAGATACTGCACCAGTACTGTGTGTAAAATGCCATCAAAAAGTCAATTAAGTTTTATTCTTTCTCACCTGTCTTTCTGTCTCCTTTCACTTTTTAAAGGTTGCCATGTTAGAAAAAATAATGTCCCCCCTTCCATGCTGTTTATTGATGTGGAAAATGAATGGTTTATGAAAATATATCTAAATCTGTCATCAGTAATGATCATGTCTCACCTCTAGTCTTCTCTGTCTTAATTTCAGGTTTTCACCATGTGTTCTAGATGGTTTAGGAGGTTAACTCGACCAAGCAGTCTACTTTCGGGTACTGTTTTGAATACCAGAATAGGGAGGATGGTGTAGGTTTAGGTTTATTAGACTGATACATATATACCAACAAGACAGTGTACATCACTGTGACAACAGCGTTTGTTTTCATTCAAAGGCTTCATGGTTTTTCCTATAATACCTGGTGGGCCCGTCTCTAGTCAAAATGCCCGGGCCGATTTTTTGTCCCAGTACAGCCCTTGTCCCAAGACCAATCAGGCATACTGTGATGTGTGTTTGTTCTGTTGTATTTGTATGTGTATGTATGAATGTGCGATGATATAAAGTGATTTGACTAATTTGTTCATGGCTTGGTGAATGAAAGACAATTTTCCATTGATGTGGATAATAAAGTTATTCTATTCTATTTTCAGAGGCATATTTTACTGCAGGAAGGCATCTATTATAGGTGTGCATTAACTATTGGTTATAGCATTAGATCTAACTAATTTCGCACTAAAACATGTGGTCATATGACATCAGAGGGACTGCAACACTTACCTCTGTGTATTCAATCACTTGTGAAAAATTCCTTCCGTTGGCTGGCAGACCTGTTGTCCCCAGTCTTCGATAAACAAAGAAGGGTGGAACAAAGTTATACTTTCCATGTTATATGACCCCAAACCACTTCAGCATAGTTCACAATAATACTTAGCATACTTTTATCCTACCTGAAGTACTTCATGGCAAAGTCAGCCATCGGTGAGTTCACCTCTAAGTTGAGGACTGAGCCCTGCATTGAGCTCTGTTGTGATCTCTGGAGAGATCCATGCACCAAATCGTGGGGTGAAGCCTCTCTTCCAGGCTGCTTTGAATTACTGCTGCCCATGTGTTTGTTGATGAGAGTCTTCCTCATGCTTTTCCTCTTCTCATCTCTGTGGTTTAGATTGAGACAGTGGTAGTCTGGGGCTGCAGATGGCTTGGTGAGGTCTTCTGGAAAAAGACCAGAACGTCTTCCCTTGTTGCCAAAACGCCAGCCTGGTGAAACAGACAAATCTAATTAGACTGGAAACAATGAAAATAATATTTGTCTTAGTAACTAACATAAACATATGACTACAATTCAAGTCATGACTTTACCTGGCTCTAGCCCTTCCATTGGCAGCAGTTTGATTATATCACCCTTATTGAAGCTGAGTAGACTCTTGTCATCTGTTACAAAACTCTTCAGGGCAACTACATGGTTTGAGTCCTAAAGGGAGGAGTGAGAGATGAACTAAAATTAAAGAGGCTCTAAAGACAAGGAGACTGTGAATATAAGCTGAAAACCTTTAAAATTATAGACCATGGAATGAACTATGATTATAAAAAGAGTACCTTGATGAGTTCCTGGATGAATGACTGAATCATAGCAATGATCTGAGGAGCCCTGCGTGACTGCAACACCAGTTTTTCACTCTTCAGCTTCAGTGCCACTGTGTCTTCACCCTGAAGTTCAGCTGACAGCACCTCTGCAAAACTTTATTCATGAAGACCCGTTAACATTTAATGCAATAACCAACAGCAACAATGAATTAAAATATCAAAGATGTAGCAAAAACGTCCATAAGGAATAGCACACGAGACCTGTGATAGTTATTACCATAGCAACTTAATCTAGCTGATGAAAACAGTGGAACAATATAGCTGCTGATATCTTGGGAGCGTGAACTTTGGACTGTACTTGAAAGCCACATTATGAAAACAACTGACAGGCAAAGTTCACAATGTTTGTTTTCGTAGCCATGAGGTGTGTTTTTCGCTGAGCTGCAGGGGGAGAGGTGGTGTTGGCCAATTTAGGGGGCAGTTCCAGGTCAGGCTGGCATATTTTGCTAATGAGGATGATAAATAAATAAATAATATTTTAGGACAGTGATTCTCAAACTTTTCACAACAAGTACCACCTCATAAAATATATCGCTTTTAAAGTTATGGAACTTATGATCGACATAAAAGTACAGTAGTATAGGCCTATTTAAACCCATATCCAGTTTACATGAGACAATTTTATTTCTTATATGAATGTTATTCATTTTAATTGTCATAAACAGGATGTGACAAATGATAATAATAACAACTGTAGGTGGGATGTCTGGTCTTTAAGTGATGACGTATAACCCTGCTTCCGGGTCCAAACTACTGTGTTTATTAAGGCTGTTGTGTTTTTAACATGTTTTAATGCTTTGTATCTTGTTCTATTTAATCTGAACAAGCCCCTAAAAAAAGGCAGTGATCACTGTCGGCCTCTCTCAGATTTTATTACCACTATTCATTTTAAAGCCCAGTTTTTAAACCCTTACGATCTAACTACAGCCCAGCCCATGCAGCAGTATATTAATGACTAACCTCATATTGTGGATGGATTATCTCAGTTGTTCTCCTGACTGAAGTTTGGTCTGTTTACAGCACCCTGCCATGTGATTGCATTTGTCCCTAACCATCGGGAATCCTTACGTTAACTTTTATCGAGTGGAAAAAAAAGCGTATGTGGCCGAGCTGTGCATTTTAATTTTTCAGAAATCCCTCAGTCAGAACATGGTATAATTATTTAATCTTAAATATTTTTCAGAGACTTCCTGTGTACCACTAGAGGGAGCCTGCAGTTTGAGAATGACTGTTTTAGGATAATAAATAATGAACTTTACGTAGAGATAATTACGTTTTATATCATTTATTTAGCATGTATATTATGGATCCAGATGAGATTTTTTATTTTAATATTAAAAATGGATAGTATGTAGAATGTACATACACAGTGAGAAAGTATTTCAAATAAATACCCTTACTCTGTGAATTTGTGCATGCAAATGCTTACCTGTAACCTCTGAGTAGCCGGAGATGTTTGGGGTTTATCCCCAATGCCCTCACCATCTTAAGGAGACGAATCCCGCGATGAGAGACACCCAACACCTGGGCATCCCCACTGTCTGGCTGCGTACAAACAGGAGATGCTTGCAAATAAATATCTGTGAGAAGTGTAAAGTGCAATAGATTCTACTGTATTGCACTTGAAACTACACAGCTCATGACTTTAGTGTCTCAATCAAGACCCAATATCTCAATCATATACCCCTGAACATACTGTATATGTTATTATAATAAAAACATCAAAATGGGCAGAAACAATCCAGAGTAATGTTGAATCTGAATTTATCAATTGACAATCTTATTTTTCATATGGTGCAATCTTCCAGCTGATACCATGGAGATACTCAACCAATCAGAGTAATATAACCTCATGGTGAACCCTGCATACTCTACACACATTTTTCCCCATCCAATCTGTTAGGTTGAAATTGTTAAATGTTGTAATTGTGTTACTTAAATTTGTAAATCTTAGTTCAATTACTATGGGTGTTTGTGTAAACTGTGTCACAGAATAAAAGGCTGCAGGGGAAGCTCTTTCACCAAACGGACAACTTTTCTGTGCAGTTTGATACATAATCTGTCTGTGCTGCATCCGTTTGAATCATATCTATCAAACAAACTCCAATTTGTTCATGTAACAGGGAAGTCCTCTTCACACATAATGTTAATGTTAAATGTTAATTATGGAAATTCAAGGGTTTAGTGCTAGGACTAATTACGTTTTTAACGTAGCTAATTACATGGAGTATAATTGGAAGGCACAGCATAAGTTTTCATTGCTTTGCAGACGATACCCAGCTTTATCTATCCAGAATGCAGGAATTTCTTGAACACATGACGACCTGGATGACCTTAAATTTCTGGCTAGTTAGATGCCCTATTCATATGATCAATGAGGCTGACTGCTAGAATAAGATCTTATCTTAATCACATACAAAACTGTGTGTGATTGACAAAGGCTGTGTGGGAAAATCCTGGTAGATTTGCAGCTACTGAAATATTAAAACATATATAAATATATGTTGAAATATCTGCAGGACCTCTTGGTCCTCTTGGACCTCTACATGCCTGAATGCATTGAGTTGCTGCTATTTGATTGGTTGCTTAGATAGAATAACCTGAATCTGTACCTGTTTTTGAATAGTTATACTAAATAAAGGTGTGGAAGAGTGTATATTGTAGAATACAGCTGGCTAAACACACAAAGAGCAGTGAAGCTCAGAGAAGCAGCAACCGAACTCGACTGATCACAGAACGGACAGTACAGTTTGGATGTTTTTTTCTTTGATTTTTTGGTCTGCTCACCTTCACAGGGAACAGACGAGTAAAGTAGTTTTCCCAGTTGTCTCGAGCTGCAATGACAATCCTCTTCTTCATGTTGTTGTCCTGGATGGTGTTTATAGTTGTTCCTATGTTGAAATTTGCTATTGTGGGTGGCAAAAATGGTGTAACTGAGTCATATTCTTTCAAGCCACTTGCGGATAATGATTGGAAAAGCAGCATTGTCGCATTAAGGTTTATGATAAACTGTCAAAATCTTACCCAGCAGATCTTTCATCTTCCTTCTCTCCTCTTTGCTGATCTTCTCGCAGCTGTCAGAGTAAGTGTCCTTGATTATCTAAAAAAAAAAAAAAAAGTAAAAATAGAGTATTACAGAATTCCAAACTCTGTGTGTCTACCATGTCTATCAGATATATAGATGAACAAAAGAAATATACAGACCTGTTCACACAACAGATTAAGAATATAGGGCTGGTTAAACATCTCTCTGGGGTAAAAAACCTGCACATAAAACTTGCAGTTACTAACATGGACTTACAACAACATCCATCCATCCATCCATTCGCTTCCGCTTATCTTTTTCAGGGTCGCGGGGGTGCTGGATCCTATCCCAGCTGTCATAGGGCAAGAGGCGGGGTACACCCTGGACAGGTCACCAGTCTGTCGCAGGGCTAACACACTTATAACAGCAGTACTTCAAATTCCAAGTGTAGTGAAATGCCGTTTTTAATTGCATTGTGTCATGGTTCGGGTGAGTACGGGGTTTTTCCACTCCGCTGGGCTCCACCAGCTTCCACACCTGGTTCCAATCAAGTCACCAGCATATAAGACCAGCATTCACAACAGACCAGATCTTCTGCTAACTCACGACCCACCTGGCAGTCACACTTCCCAAACTAAACTACTCACATCTCCGCCTGGATGCTGGTTCTGTCATCTGGTTGCTTCCTTTCCATCATTGGACTACACCTGCCTGCCTCCCTGCCAAGTCCCTCACTCCAAGTATATTCTGGACCCTCTCTGGACACTCCTCACCCGGAACCCCTTGGACACCCCCTCCTCGCATGACACTTTAACCTGCAACACGTAAGCCCTAACCACCATAGTCTAATCCTTCAGCTGTGATTCACTAGACTGCCACTGACTACTTGTCTCCTCTCATTATAGTGACTGCGTACCTCCATCCAAGCCGCTGCCCCTTTTTCCATTCCCAGGATCCATCCATGAAATCTAGCACCTAGTCATAGCACTCAGTTTCATGTTCATAGTTTGACCTCATGGTTCTCAGTTCATAGCATTCATAGTTTCCTGCTTTGTAAGTTAACTAGGCACTGTAAATAAAGCACTGTATTCACGCCCGTTTTGCCTCCCTCTGTGTCTGCATTTGAGTCCACACCCACAGCCTGGCCCTCTAGGCCGTAACACATTGTCCGCTTAAATATTAACACATTTTTTACTTTTAGGCTGGACTGCTATAACAATTATTTTCTGGCTTTCTTAAAAAACGCAAATGCGTTCAATTGCTCCAGAATTGTGCAGTGAGCGTAATGACAGCAGTTGTCAGACTGCTGGCTTACTTGTGGTTCCTGAGAACAACAAGAATGGTAAGTAGAATGGGAGGCCGAGCCTTCAGCTTTTAGGCCCATCTTCTGTGGAACCAGCTACTATTCAGGAGCCAGACAGACTCTTCTGCTTTCAACATTAGGCTTAAAACTTTCCTTTTTGATAAAGCAGGTCTGGATCAGGGGACCCTAAATCCTCCCATAGTTACACTGCAATAGGCCTAGTCTGCTGGCGGCTACCCTACTGCACTGAGTGTTTTTTGTGCTTACACACCACTCTATATTTTCAGTAGTTATTATAAATGTCTGACTCTCTTGCACATTGATTATTTTGTCCTGTCTTCCGTCCATCACCCCCACCTTAATTTCAGTTCTGCTGAAGATTTCTTCCTGTTTAAAGGAAGCTTTTCCCTTCCACTGTCGTGAAGTGTTTGGTTAAAGGGGGCATATTATTGTATTACTGCGTTTTACCTTAAACACCTTGAGGCAACTGCCTGAAGGCGCTTGGGATTTGGCAGAAACAAAATTGAATTTTATGAAAGACCTTGGTCTTTCAAGAAAGGAGTTTCTCCTCTTATAACAATCTTGTTTCCACAAAACCCACTGCATCCCTATTTGATGGGTCCTTCACGATGGTAAGAAGGACCCAAAACAGTATCCATATAAGTGAACCTCCTAATTGTTTTTGTGTGCATGCAAATCTTACTTCTTTTCGCAGGAACAGTTTTCCTGGCATGTTGTAGTATGAGAAGTAAACCCCAGCAGAGAAGCGGTGGAGTTTGGACTGAATGCCTTCGTCCTCTGGCATATCATCATCTATAGTTAATACACAGTAAACTAAAGTTACTGACAAAGATACATACCCTCAGCTATATGAGGGCATATAGAGCTGTTGTCGGCCGATGCTATTTATCAGCCAAATATGTCACAGAATAATGCTGATGTATGGGGAAACATGAAGTCAGGGGACACCCACTTATTGATGGAGCAGCCATTGATGGTGGCTCAGGGATGTCCTGAAAGCCTGGGGAAGGTGGTGGGGAGTCAGGGGGAGAAGGAGGAAGGTGCTGGGGCTGCTGGGAGCTGAACAGGTCCTCCAGGGAGCGCTGTTTCTGTCTCATGCTGTTGGAGATGACTCTGCGACCCCTTGTTGATGGTGGAGATTTCTGTGGTGAATGGGTCTTTGGAGAAGGGGGTGGAGGAGGCAGCCACTGTTTCTACATACAGGAAGGATGTCAAACTGTTAAAGAATTACCTAATTAAGAGTGTAATTGCATAAACAAACAAAAAAGATTTCTAGTTATTTGTTTGTATTCTGACCTTCTGTTGTGCCACTGGTGCTTTGTTTTTAAGCTTAGCCAGAGCTTCCTCTTTGGGGTTACTCTTCTTTACAAATGATTTTGCAGGGTGTCTGCAAAGAGGAGAAAAAAGATATGTAGAAAACAAGACAATTCTATTAAGGTTTCATTTACATGCACGCTCTCAACAAGTTTTATTATGAACTGATAGAATATGAGTAAAACGAGCTAGCTTAAGATGTAAAATCTGATAAAAGGAAACAAAAAAAACATTTAAACATTAGTTTTACATTTTTTTTTTAAATTCCAGGGAAAAGATACCTAAATCTCTGACTCATAATTAATACTGGCGTACAAACAAAGAGAGCAGGAGGCCTAACATCACCACCAATGCTATAGAGTGGGAAGAAGAAAACCACTGTGTGTAAGGTGGGAGACGGACAACCAGTGGGCAATCTGCAGAGAACAAAAGAGCTAAATAATATCTTTAACAGGGTTAGGTTAGTTTATACCATTGTGGTGCTTCCTCCATCACACATCCTGGATTCCATAAACTTCGACTACTTTCAGCGCTTTTCCCTTTTCCTCAACTTCCCCATAAAATGAACCCCTTCCCTATTGTAATTTTTGGCTAGGTTAAGTGACAGCAGGAGAAACTACACGAGAGCAAGGCTGCAGTCCCCGATGACATCATCCCCAAAGTTCTAAGGACCTGGGATGGTGACCCTTTTACAACCTGAGTCTGTACACATTAGGACGCAGAGATGCAAGTGAACAGCAAAATGTCAGTGATTTTCTCTCAGTCTGTTTTAGAGAGTGCAATGTACCTCCTATGGTCTGTTAGAGGAGTAACATCAGAGCTGGCGACATCAACAGACTGAATTGGTCAGGATAGCCATGTGACTGGCTGCAAACTGGACACATTCACCAAAATTTGGTTAAAGCTCCAATTATGTTTAAAGTGATACTCAAACCTCTGACGATCTAAAATGCCTTTCCATTTTCCCCCCAACATTTATGCTGACTCATCTTTGGTAGTTTTTCATCACATGTAAGATATAAAGAATGCTCAAGCAGTATCCAGATGATTAAAGGAAACTTCAATTTCAGGCTTTAATGGAAATGTGTACACAGAGGATGAAGTGCTCAGACCTGACGGGCTGAAAGGGTTCGGGTTCTGGTTGTGGTCGGCTGTTGAACTGTTTGATGATTTCCCGAATGTTGGAAGTGGGTTCAGGTTGAGGCTTAGTGAGGGGAGTTGGGGTTGGTTTTTCTTTTGGGGGGTCAACTTCCCTTGCAGGTGGGCTTTGTGGATGTTTCACTATGGGAGACAAAACGCAGGAAATGTAAGATATAAACCCTAGCAAGCCTTCCTAATATGCTGCTGATCCATAGTGGCACCAAAACAGCCTGCTGAGGTCAGAATTCTGCAGTAAAGATGCCCTGTGCCATCAGTTACCAAGTCATTAGCAGCAGATTGTATTACGGATCTTTTCACATGTAAGTTTTTGGCTCGGACTATTATCTGAACCGAACCCACTTTCTTTGATGGTTCAGTATTTGGGCCAATTTTCATTAAGTATGAAAGGTCATCACTGAAGCTATTGACAGGAACAATGAATTACAGTAACACATCAGTGAAGGAGGAGTTAGAGTTTGTAATTAAAATATGCTGCAACAATACTGTAAAAAGTTCAAATGAAAGTGTACAGGAGAGCAAAGAATCCTGATTAAAAAAGAAACAGCAGTATTGTAACACTGTTGCATATAAGGAGAGGTAGCCCAAATAGTAAATAATGTAAGAATAATGGTATGTTATGTCAAGTTCTTAGCTGCATGATAAAAATGCTTAAGCAAAATTAAAAACAAACAATGTAACATGCAAACAACATAAGTCTTCACTAAAATCTTCAACCTTTCCTTGTCATCAAACACCGTCCCGCCCTGCCTCAAAACCTCCACCATTATCCCCATCGCCAAGAAGACAGCTGTGGCCAGCCCAAATGACTACAGGCCTGTTGCACTTACGCCTGTAGTGATGAAGTACTTTGAGAGACTGGTCTGTCAGCACATCAGGGCCGGTCTGCCTCCCACTCTGGACCCCCACCAATTTGCCTACAGGACAAATCGATCCACCGAGGACGCTATCACCATAGCGCTCCACATTGCGCTGAGTCACCTGGAGCACCGAGGAAGCTATGTGAGAATGCTCTTTCTGGACTTCAGCTCAGCATTCAATCATATCATCCCGGAGATCCTGGTCCAGAAACTGTCTCACCTGGGACTCTCTACCCCCATCTGCCTCTGGATCAAGGACTTCCTGACAAATAGACCACAGTCTGTCAGACTCGGCCCCCACCGGTCCAGCACCATCACACTCAGCACCGGGTCTCCACAAGGATGTGTTTTGAGTCCCCTCCTGTTTACGCTCTACACATCTGACTGCTCCCCTACCCATCTCTCAAACACCATCATAAAGTTCGCGGATGACACCACAGTGGTTGGACTCATCGCAAGGGGGGATGAGTCGGACTACAGAGATGAGGTCAACAGACTGACTGAGTGGTGTTCAGTTAACAACCTCCAACTGAACACCACGAAAACTAAAGAACTTATCTTGGACTTCAGGAAGGGCAGAGCAGACCCGGCCCCACTCTACATCCACGGGAACGTGTGGATGGGGGAACACTCCATGAGGTTTCTGGGCGTGCACATCTCTGATGACCTCTCCTGGACTGCAAACACCACGGCGGTGGTAAAAAAGGTCCAGCAGCGTCTCCACTTTCTGAGAGTGCTCAGGAGGAACAACCTGGAGGAGAGGCTGCTGGTGACATTTTACAGAGCCACCATAGAGAGCATCCTAACGTACGGCATAACAACATGGTATGCAGGGTGCTCAGCTGCGGGCAGGAAAGTACTGCAGAGGGTCATCAACACAGCCCAGAAGATCACTGGCTGCTCTCTGCCCAGCCTGGAGGTCACTGCAAACTCTCGGTACCTCAGCAGAGCTGGAAATATCATCAAGGACCACTCTCACCCCAGCAACCAACTGTTTGAACTATTACCGTCAGGCCGACGGTACAGGTCACATAAAACCAGGACAAACAGATTCAGGGATAGCTTCTTTCCCAGAGCTATCACCGTAGTAAATAAGCACAAAAACAATTGAACCTATTCCATACCGTCACTGTCATTATATTATGCTGCTATTCATACTGTCATTATATTAATGCTGCTATCCTGTATATATCGTACATACTATTGTTTGAGTACTTACGATTGTTTTTTTGTACTTTTTATATTTTACATTTATATTTATTATTGAAACTTGCACCAAGGGAGTGGCACTCCAATTTCGTTGTACTCTGTACAATGACAATAAAGGCTATTCTATTCTATTCTATAAACCTTGGCTCAGACTTTCACGTGTAAAAAGACTTGAATCCATAATGTTTTTGGTACAAAATATTATTATTTGCTATCATTTTACCATTTATTTGGTAGTTAGTTTGGAGATTACCCTAAATGATCTGAATTAAAATGAGCTTTTTAGAGGAAGGATCAGTTCAGAGAACCCTTGAACTTGTAAAATCCTCTTACCTTCTGGCTTAGCTGCTACAGGTGGGAGCAAAGGAGAAGTTAATGGAGGTGAGTGCTGTTGCTGTCTGGTTGTGCTTGGGGCTTGACGTGTCTTTAGGGTTTTAGGGTCTTTAGGGTTGGGCTGAGTGGCTGTAGGACAGCACAAGAAAATGGGATTAAGAAAAACCATGACTTAAAAAAAACACTACAGGAGCAATCACTGAAGATGCAAATTGAATTCTATAAATAGAAAAACAATATTTAAACCTCCTGTAAAACATAAAAACATCACAACATGGACCGACTAGTCAAAAGCAACTCCATAAAGATTGCAGCCTAAAATCATTTAATTTGTACATTTTGACTTGAGGACCTTCTTAACAAAAATAAACAATAGGCTAAACCCCTGGCTTTACAAAGTCATGAATCAAGCATTCAAGAAAATATGGAATCAAGAAAAATTATTGGGCATGAATCTGACCAATACAGCTTGGTGAAAGGGAAAAGGTTATTGCAGAAATTTATAAATGTTATACATGACTTGAATAATCTGTCAAACATATATCTTGTGAATGATATTAAGTCATTTGAGCAAGAAAGAACATTTTGCTGTTGAACTCACCAATCTTCTGGAAGAAGTCCCTTTTATCTTTGACAGAGTATAGCTCATCTGCATCTAAGTTTACTTCTGTTTCTGGCTGTAAAAGTAACATTTAAATGATAAGGAGAAGGAAGTGCATAATGACATGACACTATTGTTTCACATTCACAGAGTTTGAGGTAAAAAATCCAAATTGAAAGACTAAAGCAAACACTGTCTGTATCCTACGTTGTAAGTGTATTGACCAGCTGTTTTCAGAAACAAGTCAGTCATCATTTCAATTGAATAATATGTATGTATTTGCAAGTCATTTATAAAAGATTGTACACTAAAAATTTTGGGGGGATTTTTGATTAACAATCTGCGAGCTCCAGTTCAGTCACATCTATGCGTATGTTGTAGAGAATCCCTCACATTACACTGCTCCCAGGATCAACAGTTTCAAAATACGGACAGCTACCTGTAATTTCAGTCTGGACGGGCAAACAATGCTGCCATGTAGGAGGTAAAGAACAAGAAACAGTTCATAGTTAAAGCAAAGGAAAGCAGTACATAACTAGCTCAAATAAACTACCACATGGAAAAATTATGTTTTGTTCATTTTGACATTTACAGTGTAGGACCAGAAAAGTATTCATTTGTCACTTTAATGTTGTGTCATAACAGTAAAGTTTTCACAATGTCAGTGAATCATTCCTACAGTTTAAAATGCAGGCGGGGTTACTGTGGAGAAGCAGGGATTGGTGTGATTAGGTCATTCCCTAAGGTGGGGTTAGGAGAGGCGTGTTGGCGCAATACTTTACGCTCTTCTGGCAGCTGTAAATAAATGTAGATTTGTGCATTCGACAGCACAGCAACTATCTGGCGGTTTGTTAAACTGTGATTGATGGCAAAGGAGTGCAAAGGACTGCAGTACTGTTTTTCCCTCTAGGTGGATGCATCCCCCTAGCTCTGATGCCATGTGAAAACTATGAGTCTGTGGGTGTGGGCAGGACTGGATACAAATATTGCGGGAGCGGGTGGATGTGACAGAGAGGGAAAGTGGGAGTGGGCAGTAATGCTCAGAAATTCAAGGGGGCAAGGATTTTTTTTAAAAATGTCACAGCAAGTAACCAACTGAATACAAGTACCACACTGACAGTGTTTTGAAAAGTAGTTGCTCACACAATATGCTAT